AATCTCGTGGAAAATACTTAGTCTACAAACTAAAGAACAAATGAGCTGTTTACACTGAAGCTCTTCAGTGTAACTTTGGGTTTTGATCAAAACACAGAAACATATATCCTTTAATATATGTATTGGCATTACCTGTTTCTTTTGCAACTTTAAGCCTATCTTCCCATTCATGAAATGGTCCCAGACACTTAGCGAGGAACGTCTGGAGTGTAATACAATCCAAAGGTAACACATGATTATCAGCTCCAACACGCAAAATAGGATCCACAACTATGTAACCTCCACCACTTTTTTCATTTCTAGGAAAAATTAATTTTCATTGATATAGTAAACACCCATTGTACCAGTCAGTTTCAGAAAGAGAATCCAACAAGCACAGCTATTTCAAAAACACAGTAGCCCAGTACAGTGGCTGGGGGGAGGTGGGGAACAGGACTGCAGGGCACCTGAAGAAAACAGCAAACACTGAAGAGATGTTCATCTCTTAGGCATCATCTCTCTACTGGACTTATGCCAGTTGCTTACAAGAATACAGTTGGGATACAGAGCTTTAAACTCTCTGCAAAAGTGAGATACCTTTGTTATTTTTTGAGACAGAGTACTGGTTTCTCCTTTCAGGATATGGTCAGAAACAAGAAAGCATGACTGCCCATCTTTGATACAAAGACCTCCATTTGGAGCACCATCCTCGGGAAGAGACCCGAACTAAATGCCCTTTTAAGCCTGAGGGAATTTAACCACCCATTTTCCAGAAACTCAGAATACCAGACTACAATCATTACAGATACTGGCATTCTCCTCTGCGCTTGTCCTGTTGAGACAAAGGAGGAAGTAAAGAATGTGAAGTAAAGAATGCCAGAACCTCTGTGCTAGAAAGACCGAAAACAACCTTCAAAGTCAATGAAGAAAGTACAAATTAATCATTCAGATACAAGTTTTCAGTCATTGGCATTCTAAGTAAAAATGGCTCGCCTTTCCAACGTTTACAGAAAATTCATCAACTTTGTTCCGTATATATTTTCCAGAGTATCTTTGCATCAGAAAGTATTAGACAACCACCACAGCTACTCTCTTTCATTAGCAGATTCAGATAGGCCCCACGGTTGCAGTTTGAAAAATGCATGGAAAAAATGTTTTTATTCTTAACAGTGATTTCTCCAGGTTAAAATGTAGACCAAGGGAGCAGACTGCCATTTGGCTGTAAGTATAGATTTCACTTACCCAAGACTGAAATAGTACTGGTACGACCCAGAAATTTGGAGATCCAGCTTGCAGTACTTGTCAGAGTCATCTTCTTTTCCTGTGGGATTGTGCCACGATAGTGTCCTGAACTTGTGGCGATCAAATACTTCTCCAGAAGCTGGATAATTTGTGTACACGGTAACGGGCTTGCCTTGAAGAGTCGGGCCCAATCGGAACTGTAGTTCAAAACCTCAAGAAAAAAGATAAAATCACTTTATCTGGAGGACTAAATATTTCTATTCTGTTATTACAAATCATAATTTTATATTATGTTAAGAAGAAAGTGCACCAACATATCTGCCAAGAATTTTGGCAGAATGGTCTATTTCTACAGCATCATCTCTCCCTACTTTCCTAACACTGTTCTTTGCACACTTTACACATAGTCCTTTTCCTTTACTTATATGGCACTATTTATCTCCTTTCCAATTTGTTCCTCTTTGCTATATAAAAAGTCTTAAAAACAAAACACAGCAAAACATCAAGATCACCAGACTACATACAATTTTATGCCGATTTTGATTCATGTAGTATTTAAGTATTTAGGTTTACCAACTCTATATATTAAGCTGACCCATGAAAACATCTGAAAAAAAATAGGAACACATTTCAAAACAGAAGATATTTCAAATCCCTTCATTCTTCATTGAGGGTTCACTAAACAACGCTAAATTCCTTATGCTTTTAACTGTAAAATGATATATACTTGTGTGTAATCTACAATGTACAAACAAATTGTTAAACTTTCAGAGAGCTCAACAAATCAAAGGGAGTTTTGTATATGTGCTGCAGGTCACACACACACATAGAAAGAGCACTATTTAGGCTTAAGATACCCATGATAACAAGAACAAAATTAAGTTTAAATATTAGGACCTAAACCCATACTATAGTCTGTTCAGTTGGATATGAAAAATTCAGTTTAGTCAACAGGTTTCAGAATAGGTTTCCACTTGCAGGTATGAGGGCCACCATCATGTGCATGGCTAATTACAGGGTCCTTTCAAGTGACTGAAACAGGTATAAGTGTTTGCACAATAACTTTTATTAAATTACATGCCAGTCATGTAGTTAGCTGTAGTAACACACCTACTACTAGCCCTAGCAGTCTACAAAATTGGAGTAAAAGAAACCTGAGTATTTGTAAAAAGAGAAAGTTATTAATACACAGATAATGAATTATAAAGTGTAAAAAACCCTGAACAACGGCAAGTTCCAGTATCTTAAGTTGAAAAAAAGCCACTTGCTTATTAAGTAGCATCATGGGGACTCTAATATGAGAATTCAATGTCTGAATATATTTAAATGCAAGTCTCACCAAGCTTGCAGTTTCTCTTATTAACATGATCACCACTGCACCAAAACCACCATGTAAAGCAGTGGTTTTAGGATCTGAATGTCTGTCAGGTAAAATGAAGCTCATTTGATTGCAAAAAAAAAAAATCTTACAGGAAAAAAAAAACCACTTTTGGAAGGTTAAGTACACTCTCCCCAATACTGTCCTGACATTTTATTACAGGGATTACTAAAATTAGATCACAAGGATATATGCCATTGATATCTTATTTCCTGTAACAGTTACACCAACATCAGGAATGCTGTGGCAAAATTAGCTATGCCCTCTCAGAGACTGCTACCAGCAGAGGCACTTTGAATGTTTGATAGCTGTGCACTTCTGTGTGACTCCTTCCAACAAAACTTATACAACTGGAAGGATGAGTTAATAACGGAGGTTATGGTCAACTCTGCACTTCTTCACTACTGACATTTTCTTAGATTACACTATCAGCAAATCTTTAAATCAATACAGTTGAAGAGAATTCTTATTCTCAAGAACCAAAATCTTGCTCCTCTGCTAAATCACTTTGATATTAGGTTCCTAGATCAATAACATAAAGTCATAAACCCCACAAAATTTCATGAGTAATAAAAATCGTTGCATCATTAACAATGGTTTCTAAAGACAATGGCTTTAGTTTTATAGTCTGAATTTGCTGACCAGCATAATAGTGGACCAATTAGTGGGGTGTTTTTTGGTGGGTTTTTTGTTTTTTTTGTTGTTTTTTTTTTTTTTTTTTACAAAGAGACTTAAGAACACTTTCAGAGAAAAACAATGTCAAGTTCTTAGAAGTATGCGGCCAGAATACTAACCTAGCACAGCTATAAGAAATCTTACAGGCAAGATAAGATTTAAGAGGTGCTAAAGATCCCATATGCTGAAACATTACCTTAGACTTTCCAAAGTGCTAGTATTACTGATATATTTCAAAATTATAATAATATATATATAATGTTATGTGTTATATAACATTAATATATAATGTTATGTGTTGCATAACACATTGCAGATAAATACTAGAGAGCTTGACTTATAAGGACATTCCCATGAAGACTGACAGCTCCTAGCTGATTTGCTCTTCATTTCTCAAGAGTTTTATGAGCCAGACTGAACCGCAACCGGAGCCCATAGAGCTCTGCAGTGGAAGCAAGCATGTCAGAAATGGTTTCATATTAAAACAAGGTAATAAGTAAAAAAAAAAAAAAAGAAAAAGGCAAAAAAACTCCCAAAAAACGAGAACACCAACGCAGGCAGAGCTCCCTTTCCATTGCTGCCTGAAGAAAGTGGCGAGCTCCCGGCCATTTCTCTCTCACCCGGTCCCGGGAGCTCCCCGCCGAGGAGGTGGAGGAGGAGGCTGAGGAGGCCGCAGGCCGCCGCTCCCTACCTACCTTGCTCCAGCCTGAAGAGGGTCTTGTCCAGCTTCTCCATCTCGCTGAGGTGCAGCAGCCGCGTCTCCTTACCGCTCGGCATGGCTGCGGCCGTCTGCCCGGTGCTCCTCCCGGGCCAGGAGACTCACTTGGCGGAGGGAGAAGCGAGCCCTGCCGTGAGGGAACACAGACAAAAACCCACAGGTCAGCGGCGACCCGCGGGAGGACGGCGGCCGTTTGGGAACGCCTCGGGGGCGGCGCGTTGGGGACCCCCCCCCGCCGCCAGTCTCGCTTACATGTTCCCCAGCCCCAGAGAAGAGAGGAGACGAGGCGCGGCAGGGCAGGGAGAAGGGTATAAGGGAGCTGTCAGGAGGCACCCAGCCCCCGCCTGGCCGGGGACCCCCCCCGGCAGC